GACTTAGATTCGGGTTATTAATTTTAATAAACTTTTAATAAATTAATTTAATAAATCATAATATATTATATTAAAGTAATTAATATAATAATTAATTATACTATAATAGTATAATATAATATATAGTATAGTGTATAGTTATTATACTATATAGTATATAGTATAATATAATATAGTATAATAATTCATTATACTATATTAAATTAATTAATTCAATAGATTATAAACTTTTCATAAACTTTTAATAAATATCCCATCTTTTGTCTTGATTTTGTTATACAATTACAGCTCAAAAAGTGACCGTCGTTATTTCACTTCGCCCCTTCCTCGAATCGAGGAATCGTTGATTTTTTTATAAGTTGTTTTATAAGTTAAGTAAATTGCAATACCGGTGATCGATGTTTCCGGAAGGAATGCTTCCGAAAAATCTTTTAATTAGTCGATTCCTTGGAAGAACATATCGAAGAGCGACAGCAGTCGACAAATTGTCGTATCGAATTTCAGCGATGTTGTCTATAACACTGATTGCCGCAATATTGCTGATACCAATTCCTATACTACTACATACGTCGATTCATCTTAACATCATGCAATCGCTTGGATATTTCTATTTTAAGTATAACATCGAATCCAACTTGATTTGTGGACACGCCGCCATCACGAGCCTCCTCTCTATAATGACATTTGTGTGCACGGAAGGAATCCTCTCTGTCATTACATTCTATCTACGCGGACTGTTCGAAATTGTTTGGTACGCGTTCTAAATATTATAATATGTATTGTACAAACATAAACACTAATTAGTACATTCTAAACCGCCGAACTAGCACGCACAGGCGTGCGTTGGCTAGCACGCGCGTTCCATTGAATTCACTGCTTACGCGCCTAGTCCTAAGCACAGCTTTCGTTTATCATGAAATTGTTTGACATTGTTTTTATCGATTCAGCTACCGAATACGAAGCGCGGTTAACGATACAGCTAGCAAATTGATTACATCGGAACATATAGACATTGGCCCTGCTGTCGTCCTCCACCAGAAAGCATATCAGTTAGTAATTTCTATATAATATGTTAGTACAACATTTATTTTGTATATAATATTACTATTTCATTGCGTATATTGTGCATCTCGAACAAAAGGCTCGGCGATTCTGTAGGAAGACATATGACCTTATCATATCTAGTAATAATCCTGTTAGTTATCGCATCGCTTGCCATGAATTTATATCGCGTGAGTATTGCCGAAATTTAGAAAAAAAAGCGATACACAAATCGTAAATTATACTTTCATACAGGGTGTCTCGGAACTCGTTCGAAGTGACAACGTTTTCCTTTGGGAAAAACTTGGCTGTCGTGTCAACCATACGTGCGAGACGGAATTATATTCTCATATTAGTGCGCTAATCGAATTATTACACCCTCCTAATTTTATTAGGATCCGCGAAACGCAAGAGTTTTGCTGAAAAGAGACGTGTTTAATTCGGAATTTTAATTCTATGAAATTGAATATGTTTATTTGATGCAATTTTTGCGGTGATTGACACGGCAGCCAAAGTGTTAACGAGTCATTAACGAAAAACGCGGACCAATCACGTTGCCAGCGTGGCCTTTCCCCGTCGCGCCAACACGTGCTCGCCGGGCGGTCCATCGTTTCTCCCACTTCTTCCCATCGGGACGTACTTTTATTCTGATTATCCATTGTCAAAAAGTTAACCAAGTTTTGAAAATTAACTAATCATTTTTAAGAGAATAAACAACAGAAACACAATCACGTGAAAGTGAGTTTGGCCATGTATTGTCATTGTAAGTAGCATCTTTCGAAATAAACAAAATTGTCTTTTCGAATCTTGTCCATTGATGGACAACGCGTCGCGCAGGAGCGCTTTTCGTCAATGACTCGTTAACCTTTTAGGTGAGGCTGAATTCTGCGCGAGGCTATCTCTCTGGACGGCAAAGTCTGATATGTACTGTACAGAGACTGGTACTGTATATACAGGGGGTGTCCCAAAAATGTCGTGCAATCCGAAAGTGGAGGGTTCCTCGGACCATTTGAAGCAACTTTTTCCTTTACAAAAATTTTCTTCGAGGCACCGTTAACGAGTTATCAACGAAAAACAGTGACCAATGAGAGGCGAGCTCGGCTGGCGCGAGGCGATCGAGCCAATGAGCGAAACTGGGCTTCGCGCGCTGGTTGGCTGGGCCGCCTCGCGTCAGCCGTACTCGATTCTTATTGGTCACTGTTTTTCGTTAATAACTCGTTAACGGTGCCTCGGAGAACATTTTTATAAAGGAAGAAGTTGCTTCAAATGATCCAAGGAACCCGCCATTTCCGGATTGCGAGACATTTTTGGGACACCCTGTAGACTGTTGTAAATCGATGCGAAGACAAAAGAAGTGTGAAACAATGCATATGAATAAGATTATTTGGTTCAAATGATGAGCGAGTGAGCTATTAGAGCAAGCCACTATAGTGGCGCGTCGTCCAGAGAGATGACACCCGCGAAAGTCACTATAGTGGCGTGTCGTTCTGAAAGATGACATCCGCGAAAGCCACTATAGTGGCGCGTCGTCCAGAGAGACGACTCTGAACTACTTGACAAACCTCACGATACGTGGTCACACATCCACGAATCACTCTTGTTCTTCCCAGCGTTGTTCAACGATCGTCGGTAACCGATCACTTCCATCTCCAACCATCCACATGTGACGAGCAATAGGTGAAGTCGTTTACCAGGGTGCGACTCTGTCCAAATTTTTACGACGTTTGCTTGGTCGTTGACACTGGCCGCAATCTCATTGCACGTGCACGGCGAAACAGGCGCAGCACCTAGGATTGGTTCAAAAAATTGTCTTCGCGTGATTATAAAGAACGACGGACGTCGCTCGTTAAGTAAAAGAAAGAATGGTAAACGAAATTCCATTGATTTAGGTACCGCCTAATTAAGCCAGAAAATAGCCGCATCGTCATTTGTACATACGCAGCGACTACGTTCTTTTATCGTAACCCCGTACACGGACCACTTCGAAGCCAATTCCGAGCCACGAGTGTTAATATTTTTATCACATTTTTTCATTTCGCTCGTGCTGGAATCAGTTATAATGATTCAAGAATTTATTAGAAAAGCTGGAAAGTGGCTGGGAACTGACACGTGTTCGCGGCCTATATAACTGATTATAGTTGCAGAGAAAAAATGAATGCAGGAGGTGACACAGTACATTATTCATGCTTTCCATTATGATGTTTTATTATTTTTTCATCTACCTGAAATGTGTCAACCGTATCTCAGACGATTTCAAACGGAGATATTGAATTGGCTCCTGCAAACTATAGAATCGGCAGGATTTAGTAACGGAAAGCATGAATAAAGCATAGCGTCGTGGTGTAGTTGGACGATGGGGTAGATATTTCGTTCATACACATTTTGCATATTCTTCAACATGGACGTGTTCCAGAAGATGTATAGTACTTATTACAATGTGATGTG